AAGGTGAAGCTGACATCAGATTTCTCACTGAAAACAATGCAAGTAAAGCAAGAGTGGACCAACCTTTTAAAGAACAAAAGGGAAAAACCTGTCAATCCAGAACCTTCTCCCTAGCAAAACATCTTTCAAAAATGAAGGCAAAAGAAAGACTTTTCAGGGATATAAAAGTTGAAAGAATCAATCCCAGAAGATCTGTGCAGCAATAAAAGTTAAAGTTCATCCTTCAATCAGAAAGATGATACCAGATGAAACTATGGACCTAGTTTTAGGAGAATGCAGAGTATCAGAAGAGGCACATAAGTTACTATACAGTAAATATATAACAGTTCTTTCTTATTTAAATATCCTTATAAGATGACTATTTAAAATTCATTTTATTGAAGTGTAGTTGATTTACAATGTGGTGTTAATTTCCGCTGTACGGCAAAGGGATTCAGTCACACATGCGGATGCACACTCTTTTCCACTATGGTTTATCACAGTGCTATATGTAGTTCCCAGTGCTATACGGTAGAATGTTGCTGTGTATCCATTCTACATATAGCAGCTTGTATTTGCTGATCCTAAACTCCCAGTCCCCACCTCCTCACCCTCTTGGCAGCCACAAGTCTGTTCTCTGTGTCTGTGAGTCTGTGTCTGTTTCATAGAAAAGTTTATTTGTGTCATATTTTACATTCCATGTAAAAATGATATCATATGATATTTGTCTTTCCCTATCTGACTTATTAAATTAGCATGATAATCTCTAGGCCCATCCATGTTGCTATAAATGGTATTATTTTTTCTTTTTCATGACTAAGTAGTGTCCTTTGGGTATTTATGTATCACATCTTCTTTATCCATTCATCTGTCAGAGGACATTTAGGTTGGTTCCATGTCTTGGATATTGTAAACAGTGCTGCAGAAAATTGGCTATTTAAAGAAAAATTATAATGATGTATTCTGGGGTTTATATCATTATAGAAGTAAAATATATGACAAAGCAACATAAAGGTTGAAAAGAAAGACATAGAAAAATACTATTGTAAATTTCTTAACTATACACAAAATAGTACATTTCATTTGAAGACAGTCTATGAAAAAGATGTATAATACATAACATATCTTACATAGATCTATAAAATATATGTCTGATAGAAGATGTATATAGGCAAACTTCAGTGCTACTGTGGATCTATTTCCAGACCACCACAATTAAGTGAATATCACAAATAAAATGTGTCACACAAACTTTTTGATTTCCCGGTACATACACAGTTATGTTTACACTATACTGTAGTCTACCGAGTGTGCAATAGCATTATGTCTTAAAAAGCACTGTACATACCTTAAGAAAATACTTTATTGCTCAGAAATGGTAACCATCACCTGAGCTTTCAGCAAGCTGTTGTAGTAACACCAAAGCTCACTGATCACCACAACGAATGTAAATTAATGAAGAACTTTGAAATGTTACAAGAATGACCAAAATGTGGCACAAACACACAAAGTGATCAAGCATTGTTGGGAAAATGGCACTGCCAGATCTGCTCGGAGTTGCCACAAACCCTCAATTTGTAAAACACACAATATCTGTGAAATGCAGTAAAACCGGGTATGCCTGTACCTATATCTTATACAACTTCTCATGTATATGATGTGAACCCTAAAGCATGAAAACAGCACGAAAATAGCAAAACAAAGAATTATAGACAATAAGGCAATGCAGAAGATAAAAAGAAATCGTAAAAACTACTCAGGTAAATCTACAGAAGTCAGAAAACAAAGAAAAGAGAAAAGGCAAGCAAGAACAGATACAACAACACACACACATTATGCGTGATGGACTACCTCTCAAACTCTACCCAAAGTGATACTTGTGGATTTAACATTTTTAATAGCGTTGATTTTTGAATCATATAATAAGCTATAGGAGAAGAAAATTCAACATGGGATCAGGAATTTTCAGAGATGTTATATTTATGATCTAAAACAAACATTCTAGTTATTTAGTCAAAGTCAGCCAAAACTTACCTCTTCTCACTAACATTATAAGCACTCATTTTGGGGTATTAAATTAGCTTTAATATCCTAGAGCCTCCCAAATATTAATTTGTTATACTTGTTTTATTTGTCTTTTGACAGATCAGTTGTTTTATTTAGTCTTTTATAAGCTTAAGCTCCCCTGTGATAGCGTGCCTTCTGTATTCATTTACTTTTACAAATGCCAAATAAAAATTTGTTGAAAAGCAACATTTTAACTCCCCCCTCCCTGCAGTGCATAAATCATGGTAGAGCTTAAAAGACATGCCAATTTGGGAAACAAAAGGGCTTTTGTACTGGGGTTTACATTCCCAGCACGATCTAATGCTAATACCTGCTTGCATTTATATTCGGTTCCTGACTGTTTGTGGGGGAGATTTTTATAGAACAAAACGAAAGGTTTTGTTTCACCTTGGCTTCAAGAAAGAAAACATGGGGGAGAAAACCCAAATCTGATCCCTGTGTTGGAAGATCCTCCCAAGGGAAGGGAATGGCTACCCACTGCACTATTCTTGCCTGGAGAATTCCACAGACAGAGGAGACGGGCGGGCTACAGTCCATGGGGTCACAGAGTCAGACACGACTGAGCAACTAACACTTTCACTTTCTAGCCAAACTGTAAGTTCCTCTGAAATTCACACTCTCTGCAAAGTGGAAAAAACCCTGAGACTTAAGTTACACTTTAGTTTTTCCTGTTCCATTAGCAATGACGTTCAAAAATCAATAACCTACGTTTGCCAGAGAGAGACCTCAGGAGTCTGTCTTGGAATCGTAAGAAATTGTCCAACTCTTTCGTTTTTCGGGTGACAGAAAACAAAATTATCCTGTTAGGTATTCGAGTCTTCCCTCCCCTAGCTTCATTCCTAAGCCTTTTGAGGGGGTATGTTATGGGTAAGGATGTTACTGAAAATTGGATGTTCAGACAGTAAAAATGGCAGAAGTTTACTCGTAGAAGATATACTTCTCAACCTGTACAATACATTGATTTGATAACCTAGACATTTCAGGTGTACGAGTTGAGAGAAAAAGACACAGATCAGTGTGGGATAGCTTGGAAAGAATTTAGGGAATTTTTCAAGCAAAGAAAAGAAAGCTTTTTTGTGTGTGTGGTTGTTGTTGAGCAGCTGCTGAGCTTGAGAGAGAGAGGATATGAAGTGCGATGTGAAAGTCATTTGCCTCCAACGAGGTTTTGGTTCATATTTAAATTTCAGTTCAAATACCTTTCCGCTGTTAAACTGTGGTTTCATTGAATGTGACGCCACCGGAGGTCAGACCAGTTGCCACTGGGCTCTGATCTAAAGAGCAGTGGGCAGTGCCAGGGTTATTAACTCTGGGAGGACTTGGACGCTGCGGGTGTTTCTCAGGGGAATCACTAGAAATTTACACCCCACACTGGCCTTGTCCCGACCTCCAGGCCCTGTTACTTTTATCTTGCCGTGTGTTCTCCTGGAGTTTCTGCCCAGATGAAAAATGCCGGGTCAGCTCCTTCCTCCAGTTCAATCCTGTTCATGTGTGCTCAGTCACTACAACCTGCCTTTTATTCTCGAGAAAAAGGATTCCCTGCTTCCTGCCTGTAGGGTTAGTGCTGAATTTCCCCTACATGTGTGTTTCTGGGTAATTGCAGTGGAAACACTCCAGGGTGGGTGGGTACAATGTGGGGAGTTAAATGTTCAGGCTGACATGACTATCTTGAACCAGAAGTATATCCTTTCACTTGTTAGGGAAAGGGAGAGAAAGATGCAATAAAGCCAGAAAGTTCGGGGAACGACTGCTTTAAGGAAAATGATCTGGAAGTACCATGCTAAGCATGGCTTTAAGACTCTACAAGCACGTGGTTCACGCCCCGCCGTGTCCCTGTGTGTGACGGTGAGGGTGGGGACGGGAGGACAGGGCTGGGCATGAGAGAGAAGGAGGCTCTGCCGTCTGCAACGAGGTTCTTTCACTGAAAACCAAGGCACAGCTTGTACTGGCTAATTGAATGGAATTATTATTTAGAGTCAGAGTTTTTACCAAGAAGATCGTGGCTTTCAATGTGGTGCGAGGTTCTCAACGAAATAAGACTATAGGTTTTCTAATGAGCCCCTAGGGGTTCCTACCAGGAAAGGGGACTGAGTCCTAGGCTCCGTGCCAAGCCCTCAACAAACACCATCTCCTTGAATACTTACAACAAACCTGTGATGCCGGCACTATTTCATAGAGGACGAGGACGAGCTCCCAGAGGGGACAGGGCACATGCGACCAGCGCTGGCAGGGGAGGGACCGGAAGCCAGGCAGTCTGACAAGGAAACCCTGCTTATCTCCCCTGCTCTTAGGAAGGCACAGCAAGGCACTGCGATGTCGCCATGTACATAATTTCTGCCTTTTAGCTGTGCAGTCTGCGCCCTGAGATTTCACCCAGGACAGCAGGGGAGGGGCTCAGAGGCAGTCATCTCCAGGCTTCCTTGCTTCCCTCCTGCCCGTTCCTCTCTTTAAGCTTTGTGGGTAATTACGTAGTTTGTGGAATCCAGAGACTAGACTCAGAGTTCCCAGAGGCAGTGATGTGTAGGTGAAAATAAGACGCAGGTGGGAGTCAGGCAACTGGCACCGTCTCAGCAACCCTGTAACTTTGGGTACATTTCTGAACCCGATTTTCCACTTGGGCAGAATGGAGATGAGGAAGTTCATCAGGAGGGATTTTTTTGTAAGGGGTGGGCGACATATGGCCTGTGTCTGGGACCCAGAGTCTGTTCAGTAAATGCCAGGTCTCTCTGGTTCACTCTTTGGGAGGAGAGCTTGCCCTTGCTTACCCTGTTGCTCTTGGTACATGCAGTGAGCGCCCTGGAAAATATTGTACATTGGCTCAGCGAATGAAGTGCCAGCAAAAGAAATTTTTCACCCTTGTCAGTTTTTAGGGATTTCAAGCAGAGAACTCCATCCCCTTTCCCAGGTTCTGGCAGTTATGGTCAAGGAAGAGTGGGTCCAGGCGCGGTCCCGCGTGGATGCTGGAGCCCATACCGGCGAGGTTGGGGTCTGAGAGGGCGCAGTCGGGGCGCTGGAAGCCAAAACGGCCGGCAGAGGGCGCCCCGGGCCCGCTGAGAGCGTGCCGCTGGGCTGGCGGCGCTCGCCGGGCGCCGGGCTCCGGGCTCCGGCTGCAGTCCGGCAGTGACCACAGCGGTGGACGCGCGCGCTACCCAAGCTGGGCGCCAGGTGAGCGCCCTCGGGGCGCCGCGGAGCGCACCCGTCCAGGCGCGCTACTGCCCGGAGCCCTCCCGGCGAGCGGTGAGTACAGGCGCTCGCGGGGCACGTTTCATCCCAGTTGAGGGGCCCTTGGAGGCAGCGCCTGTCGGAGCCGGGCTGTTCTGGAGGTTGATGTGCGTGGAAGAGTGAGCCGGGTCCCAGCCTCCTTTTGGTCTTGAGAAGGGCGTGGGGTTGACCCCCGCAGGCGCTGGATGGCGCGCGGAGCTTTGCTTCCTGGAGACTCAGGCTCGCTTGAGGTTTTCACCTAGGGGTCTTTTCTCGCGGGCCCCTGTCCGGGTGCCCTCCCGGGTTCCGGGGGCCCGGCGTTTGGCGGGGTAACCCGGGACGGGCAGGCAATCAGCTGGGCTCCCCCCCACCCCTCTCGCCCGCGGCACCAGCCTGGCGAACCACGTGCCGCTGTCGCCCGCAACTCTTGCCTGTCAAGCGAGGCCCGCCTCCGGGGCAGGGGAGGGGACGCGGGGGCGGGGTGGGCTGTGCCCCGAGGGAATGCGGCCGGCCCGGGCGCCCTCCGGTACTAGCTCGGCTCTTTCTGCCTCGTGTGCCCACGGGCTCCTGGGAGGAAGCGGGCAGTTCCTCGGGAAGGCGCAGGGCTCTTCCCCGAGGGGCCAGAGGCCGCTCGAGGGGTGCCCGGGCGCTCGGCTGGCTCCGGGAGAAAGGTAGCTGCTCAGGTGAGTAGTACTGGGGGTACCCTCTCTCCGAGAGCCTGGAAGCCCTTTTCCGGGGTCTCGTCCGCTTTGAACCGCCTCCAGCCATTCGAGGCAGTGGGGGGCAACGCCAGCTCTCTGTGGACCTGGCCCGGGATCCTTTTCCCAAACCTGCTCCTGCGATTTTTGCGCATCGGTCGCGGAACCCAGGCTGCGCGCGCAGGGCAGGACTCTGGCGCGCCTCCTGGGTGCCCTGGCGCGGCGTCGCCTCGGAAGACTGCTCTCGGAGCTCCAAGAGCTCCCGGGGGCTGGGAGAGAGACGACCCCAAGGCAAGGTAGGTGGCTCAGAGGGAGCTGGATGGGGCTTGGCAGTGAAGATGCGATCTGCTCCTTTTGGCAAACGACCTTTGCTTTCTCTTTGCTTTCTAGGGCTTTAGGGGAGCTGCTGCGGAGCCTGGGGCTTGGAGGAGCGGGGCATCTAATTTAAGCTGCGCCTCAGAGGGGAGAATTTTCTGTCACCACCAGAGAGGCCACAGACCCGGAATGTGACGACAATTGACGAGCTTGGTAGAGGCCTGAGAGTCTCTGGCTTGACAGCTTAGAATATGCTAAAACACCAGGGCTTCCCAGGAGGCATTGAAGGGTCAGCTTGTCCCCGCGACAGTGACCTGGAGCAAGGAAGTCAGAAGACAGTCTTAGAGAGCAAAAGGGACCTTCCAAGGGGCTGACTTGGACTGCCAAGGGCAGGCTACTGCCACTCGGTTCTTGCAGCCGTCTGGTGGAATGCTGGTAAGGTCCTCCACCCAGGGGAGCAAGTGGGGCTGGGCACGGGGCTGCGTGGCCCGTGAGGACTCCTGCAGGTCTGATCAGTCCCTAATCCCTGCCTAGGAACTTGAGGGCTGTCCGAGCCCCCTCTGTGCTCACCCTCAGGAAGATGAGGACTCTCAACACCTCTGCCATGGAAGGCACCGGGCTGGTGGCGGAGAGGGACTTCTCCTTCCGCATTCTCACAGCCTGTTTCCTGTCGCTGCTCATCCTGTCCACCCTCCTGGGGAACACGCTGGTCTGTGCCGCCGTGATCAGGTTCCGCCACCTGCGATCCAAGGTGACCAACTTCTTCGTCATCTCCTTGGCTGTGTCGGATCTCTTGGTGGCCGTCTTGGTCATGCCCTGGAAAGCAGTGGCCGAGATCGCTGGCTTCTGGCCCTTCGGGTCCTTCTGTAACATCTGGGTGGCCTTTGACATCATGTGCTCCACCGCATCCATCCTCAATCTCTGTGTCATCAGTGTGGACAGGTATTGGGCCATCTCTAGCCCCTTCCGGTATGAGAGGAAGATGACTCCCAAGGCAGCCTTCATTCTGATCAGTGTGGCGTGGACTTTGTCTGTTCTTATCTCCTTCATCCCCGTGCAGCTCAGCTGGCACAAGGCAAAACCCACAGGTCCCTCCGAGGGGAATGCCACTTCCCTGAGCAAGCCCATCAACAGCTGTGACTCCAGCTTGAGCAGGACATATGCCATTTCATCCTCTCTAATAAGCTTTTACATCCCTGTGGCCATCATGATTGTCACCTACACGAGGATCTACAGGATCGCCCAGAAACAAATACGGCGCATCTCAGCCTTGGAGAGGGCAGCAGTCCATGCCAAGAACTGCCAGACCACTACAGGTAACGGAAACCCCATGGAATGTTCTCAACCAGAAAGCTCCTTTAAGATGTCCTTCAAAAGAGAGACTAAAGTTCTGAAGACCCTGTCGGTGATCATGGGGGTGTTTGTGTGCTGCTGGCTTCCTTTCTTCATCTTGAACTGCATGGTGCCCTTCTGTGGGTCTGGAGAGACCAAGCCCTTCTGCATCGATTCCATCACCTTCGACGTATTTGTGTGGTTCGGGTGGGCAAATTCCTCCTTGAACCCCATCATTTATGCCTTTAATGCTGATTTTCGGAAGGCATTTTCCACCCTCTTAGGATGCTACAGGCTTTGCCCGACTACGAATAATGCCATAGAGACGGTTAGCATCAATAACAACGGGGCTGTGGTATTTTCCAGCCATCACGAGCCTCGGGGTTCCATCTCCAAGGACTGCAATGTGGTGTATCTGATCCCACATGCTGTGGGCTCCTCCGAGGACCTGAAGAAGGAAGAGGCAGGGGGAATAGTCAAGCCCTTGGAGAAGCTGTCCCCAGCCCTGTCTGTCATTTTGGACTATGACACTGATGTCTCTCTGGAGAAGATCCAGCCCATCACACAAAATGGACAGCACCCGACCTGAGCTCTGACGTGAATCCTAGCAGTCTTGCTCGTCCCAAAAGCTACAGGAGTTTTCTCTGAGGCTTGCGGTGAGGAAACTAAGGTGTGCTGACTCTTGAGATGTCGGGCGAGCTCTTCTCTGCTGCTTCCCCTCAACACACAACTAACTACATTTTAATCTACGTTCCGGTGTGTTTTCTGTGTTGCTCATAGTGAATCAAGAGGGACACAGGTGAAGCGCATGTTCATAAGGGACCTGTCTTTGGCTCCAAAGTTGTTTTTAGAAACTGATTCTTATCTTAGGACTTATAAATAGGGCAAAGAATCAACAATGAACAGCTTCACTTAAAAATTAAAGCTTTCCAGGAAGGAAATGAGAAAGGTTGAGTTTGCTGTGTACAAACAGGTGCTAACACTGGTCCAAGAAAAGTTTTCAGATTGTAAAGGTAGGTGCATGCCTTTATAAATTATTCCTAAAAAAAAAAAAAAAAAAAAAATGAGCCTTACGGTAGGAATGGGATTTTTTCCCCCCAGAATTGATGCTTAGTTGATATTGGTTTTATTTATTTATTGTATTATATGGATATTTTTAATTTATTATATTAAATCTATATTTATCATATTTAATAGAATGAGTTATCTGAGATCTTAAAATAGCATTTTTGTTCATTTGACTAGCACTTTATAAGCCGAAGAAACAAATACACAGACTCTCTGAGAGCCTAAATGCTCATTTGTAACTTCCAGAAACACAGCAAAGACAAACAGAAAATGAAGCTGTGACTATTCCTTAAAATTTATTGACACAGCTAAATAGGAGATGAGAATTGACAAATGCTGTGATAACTTTTTTTCTCCTAAAAAGATTTTGAAAGATTTAAAAAAGCATAGCTACTCTTGTGTTCAAAACTTTTTATGTGACAAAGACTTTCCCAGCAGAATGATTTGCAGTTCTGTAAATATCTGAAATAAAAGTCAGCTGAAGAAGAATCCAACTTGAAATTTATATTAGGTGGCAATAAAAAGTATATGCCACTTTGTATTTATGTAAAATAATTGGCCCTCTCTGTCTTTTCTCATTTCCTGTGTCAGATAGCTTTTCTGAACCCGATAAATGACTGTCCTGGTTAGAGATGTGCAGTGAGGACAGTGAGTTTTCTTAACTCGTGTGTCACGACAGTTTCACCCGTGGGCAAAGGTCAAATCCTTCCTCTCCATCTTACCAGCCAAGCTGCTCAGTGGGGCTACTTTTGGTAATGCTTTAATCCGAACTTAGACTTGATTTCTTTTAAAAAGTCTAAGTGTTAATGGTGTAAAACTAGCAGATAGTGCCTCATTATCGTCCTTGAGTGAGACGCTTCTGTTGGCGGAAAAAAACAGGAGACCCTTTCTCCTCTCGTATTCAGCACCCTAAAGCCATCCGCATCCCTGCTGACAAACGCTAGCCCTTTCTCTGTGCTTTGGCATCCAGTCCCCGTGTCATCACCTGGACTGTAAAAAGTATTCCAAGTCTCTGCTGCCAGATACCAACTCATGTGGGGCATTTCAAGAGAATTTTTTTGGAAATGTTTACAAAGTATTCTTGTGGATAAGCAATTGACTTAACATTTAGATGAAGTGGGTCACAAGAAAGATGTCTACTGGAAACTATCTCCTGATCAGGTCTGTGTTATTTATGCATTGTGAATGTTTTCTTAATTTTATTGCCTGTATGCTTTCTTACATATAATAAAATTATTTTGTGAACTCAGAACCACCTTGAATGTTGCATTTGTGCTGCAGTAGTTAAATGCATTTTAAAAACTAGAATATTTCAGATCTACACGTAAGAAAACTTGGGCATTTTCAAGGATATGTTACTTTTTCTTTTCAGTGGTGATCTCCTCTTATGCATGCTACGTGTTGCCTTTGAATACTTAAACAGAAAGTTGATTTGGGCTGTAAACTCTTTTCCTTCTGTCTGAAAACCATTCTCCCCCCCCCCCAAAAAAAAAACTCCTTCTTTGCTCAAGGAATTACTCTCCTTTTCATTTCACAGATTTAAAAGACTTTTAAAATCTCTACTTTTACTTTTTAAGACTCTAGAGATTTTAAATAACATGAAAATTACAGAAGAGTCTGTGGCTTGTTCTGCATGGTTGTGGACCCATGGCTTAATGGCAACCACTGTATGAACAGTGTTTGTTTTAAGAGTAAAATATAATAAGAATTTCTTTCTGGAGAAAATCCACAGACTGTGATACTAGGCTTATTTAAAAGCCTTACACGGAACTTCCATTGATCCTGCTAAACCTGCTTAGTTCATGTGCTAACCTGGCTTTTTTTTTCCTCTTAATCCCAAAGGAGAATGATTGAACAGCAGGTGATGTGAAAATTAAGGGTTAAGTTTATAATTTGAACATCACACAACAGATGGTGTCTTTTTAAATTCCATATTTGCCTTCCCTAGGCTTTGGCAGATAATGAACATATCTAGAATGAACTCGCTTAAAGCATGATGCCTTTTTGTTTTGCTTCTTAACTTTCTACACATCTTGATTCTTTGCGGTTTAATTTTGCTGTTTTATAATTGGTAGTCCAGCAACATGAGCTGTGATGCCCAGGGTTGTTGTTGTCCAACCAATGAAACACTGTGTATTTCATTGGCAGAATGAAAAATAAAGACTATTGAATAATGGTAAAATTTAGGACACTGTGGATGAGACTGTCCTTTGGGTTTCTGGCATGTGGGATGAATGGAGGGTATCTCATGAAATGTTCATTTGACTGACAAAATCTTTCAGAGAATTTGATTTACAGCCATAAAAGCAAATTTAAAATATGACATTTTATTTCATTTAACTATCCCAATGAGCTTTCACAATACTAGCTACATGTAAGACACTTTAGAAAGACAGAGACAGTTTAAAGAGGTGTTCTTTTTCCTTTCCATCTAAGAAGAAGCCTTTCCTGTTCAGATAAACGCAGAACTTTTACTGGTGATAGAATAATAAGAAGTCTTAAGGAAGGGACACTGAGCCCTGGGCTCCAATTGGTAGATTTGGAGTTCATGCAAGAAAGTTGTTGATTTTCTTGGGATCTAAGCAAGTCATGGTCTCTGAGTCTCAGTTGTCTTGATCCATTAAATGGGAAGAACAAAACCTCTGCATTAACTTTTTCAGTGGAGGAGGTCCTCCAAATAGCAAACCTGATACATAGTCCGATCTCAAGGACTTTCTGAACTCTGCACCAGATGAATTTTCAGCTTGATTGTTCTACCCCCCAGGAGCCAGTCCACTTGTGGAGGCCTGGAATGCAAAAAGCCCAGGCTTTGTTTTGGATAGACGTGGGTTCCCATTGCAGCTACCACTTTCAAGCTGTGTGAGAGTAAACAGATGACTGTCCCTCTCTGAGCCTGTTTGACCATTTGTGAAATGGAATTAAACGTGCAGATTCTTGTGAGGGTTGAAATGATGCTCATGTTTTATAAGGGTCCTGAGGCCTGAAATCTTAGGCTCACCACATCTTTGCAGGATCTCTGCTTGGAAGGGGTTGATGACAATATTTATTGCATTACTAATAATGGAGCTGCTATGCTTTTGAATTTTTGCATGTTTGCTAAAGCAAATGGAAATAACTTTCAGAGTGCATGTAGTCTGGGATTCTCCCAAACACCATTCTCTTTTGCTGTGGTTATCTGGTATTGCTGAAGCAATACCAATAGCTTCAAAAGCAAATAGCTTTTTATATCAGCATGGTTGAGACAATTGTCTTATTTTTTTTCCCCACTAGATATCTACTAAATAGATATGTCCCTGGTGCTTTAGTTTATGAAGTCTACTTAACCCTCACAGTTTGTTTCAGGAATGATGACTTGATGGCTGGCCAGCTCTGGGCTGTCAAAACTGGGACGTATCGCTCTGCGCAATCTGGTTACTGTGGTCATTGGAAGGAACTGACCCCGTGGGTCATCAGATTGTAGCATTACGTAGATTAGATGCACCTCTGTGGATTTCTTTGAGATTTCCTGGATAGAAACATGACATAATCAACCTGTTTGTTTTTGTGGAGGATTGAGGGGATGGCAAGCTTTACCGCTCCGAGAACCCTTCTAAAATCTTGTTACCAGGCCAATCTAGTCATGTTGCCTTCTGTCATGTTAAGTAACCACCATGTGATGAACAGAATTTAAAAAAGCAGCATTTGGACTTGAGTCTGTTACATCACTCAAGATCTGGGAGTTGTAATTTAAATAGTATTAGAAGCTCAAAGAATAATCTCTGGTTTAAAAGGGTTTAACTTTTTAATCACTAGGAGAAAATGGTCAGAACCAGTTAACATTTTTCTCATGCTCATAGACTATATATTCGACCAGCTCTCAAAACCGGGAAATGTTTTCAGTCATTGAAGAGCTTCTTCCCTGAGCTATGTCCACAGGAATGAGCCCATATGGCCGCCGTGCCAGCAAAGTGGAAGGGGGTAGTGAGACCCAGAAGGACTGAATTGTAGGGCAGCGTTTTTAATTTCACCAAATAATTTTTAAAAGATAAGTAGTTTGGATAAATTACCTTGTAACCCTTGAAAGTAAGTTTTTTCGTCTCTACAATACGTGGGTTAGAAGAGGTGATTCTAAGATTTTTTCTGGCTTGACAATATCAGATCCGTTACCGGTAAAATAGGAATATGACAGATTTTCCAAGTCTGTTCTCTTTGCTACAAGAAAGCTAACAAACTGATAATTCCAAAATGCCAATGTTATCTCATGCCCTTCTCAACATTCTTCAGTGACTCCCGGTTACTTTCAGGAAAAGCAGACAAGCCCTGGTGGTCTCTGCACTAACCCACTGTAGTATCTCTACAGACATTCGGAGCTTCTTACAGCTCGTGGCGTGTCCAGAGCCCTTTCTTGTCTTTCTGCTTTGCACGCGCTGTGCCCTCTGCCTGGAGCATCCTTCCCTGTCTCCTTTGTTTGCCTGCTCCTACTTATCTTTTAAGATTCAGTGGGGCCTAATTCAGTCAGTTCAGTTCAGTTGCTCAGTTGTG